ACATTTCAACAAGAAAAACGGGACAAACCACATTTTTTTAGCTAATTTTTAATTTTTCACCACAAACGAAGTGCGCTTCTCAAGCTTGAATTTGGAACACGAAATGTAGCAAACTCTGCCATTTTTGCCACAGTTGCTACATACATACATTTATTTTTGTCTCTTCTGGGAGAGAATAGTTGGGAAGGGATTTTGTTAGTTTTATGCCTCGGACTTCAATGTTTTAGAGAACCGTGTAATATTCCTAATGTATGCGTATGCATCAACTCTTAGTTCCTCAGGTTCGTATTCGCACGTATGTTTCAAAATGATGTTCCTAGGCTGAGTTATAAATTTTTTCCAGAAAGAACCTCATATTTCAAAAGTGATCCTCGATCGCGAAAGAACTGTCTTTCAGTACACATTAGGAGCCAGGAAAGAAAATTCATAGTGTAGATAGAGGAGAGTCAGGGCTACATTTCATGCCTCTCGAATCAAGAGTTAATAGCATTTTATGGAAAAAAAAATGAAACGGTTATATATCATGAACCATTCAGTAAAAGAGGCTTAAACTTGCTGGGTGATCGGTATTCAGTGAGTGCTATATTTAGGAAGATATATGATTTATTCTTGTTTTTAGAGTTGACGATGAGCGACGATGCTGTTGATTCAAAAGTAGAGGATAAGCCGCCAGTTGGAAAAGTATANGGATCGGAATTCAGTGAGTGCTATATATACACAAAATTGGATACTTTTGAAGAGTACAGTAGGCTATCGGTAACCTATATCGCCGCCGATATGTTAATCTCCTACTAAGAATGTCTAATTCAATACAGAAGACTTTAAGCAATTAGCCTTCTCATAATTTGAAGCTCGATGACAATAGTTGTGCATTATATCTTACCGTTTATCTTTTGAAGAATAAATACAAAATTAAATATACAGTTTGTTTATCTGAGCAGTAATAATTTTTATCTAAAATATCAAAGAACAAAATATTTGATTTATATTCACCAGAATATTTCAAGAAATTTTTCTATAAAATTCAAATGTGCTTAAATTGACGTTTAATATAACTTGAATAGTCTCAAATTCTATAGAAAAAGGTGTGTATAATTTCTTCTTTCTTTTTCTTTCAATATACATATTTGTATTGGACAATTGTCTTTTTTCTTTACCGCATGTAGATATTAATTCTATAACTCAGATGACGCATACATCTATGTTTAACTACACTAGATGTCTGCCAGTTCGATAATTTATATCTCCATTTGTATCAGTCACTATTACTTCTCGTATGTTTCTTTTCTTCATGTCTACTATAAAAACAATGATAACAGAACAATTTATATTAAACTGTTGAAACGATGTTTGAAAAGAACATTCTAACAAAAATGAACTGTACAAGAATATAACAAAGAAAAACCTTAAGTTTATATGTTTTTCAGACATATTTCGTATGATAGTATGTGGCTTTTACAGAGCAAAAACATGTTTGCTATTGTGTATACAGTATCAAGATACACAGACAGTTCTCCTTCTCTTTTTTTCTTGAGAAAATAGAAAAATTCTTTCTCTGAAGAGAACATGTCGTTCGATAACTAATTATTAATAGAAGGAACATGATGCTTTGGAAAAGGATTTTACTCAAAGCGACTAGTAAAATATTGGTTTGATGATTTATTTTTATTTTTAAGAAAGTTCGCAAATAGATTCTGCCTTCATAGATGAGAAAAACAATTCTTTTTTATAAGATAATAAAATTTATTCTTTAACCGATAAGATCTATCCTTGTCACTGTCAATCAACGACATTCATCTGATTTAGAATATAATCATCGTTTGATAACTTCAAGGAACGTGTATTTTGATTGTATATATAATTGAAAAAGAATAAAAATTTTACATTTTATGATATTTTCTAAAAAAGCTACTCAGAATGACAGAAGAAGAAGATAAGTGTTGAATTAAAAATGACTAAATATAATTCATGTTTTTTTTGTCTTTTCTCAGATAGTAAAAGTCACTTTTGTTTACATATTTATATTAACAGCAGGAACATAATAATAAATTGTTAGCGTAGAGAGAACTTTTTGTTCAACAGTAGTAGAAGAAAAATGTGCTCAAATGACCAAAAGAAGCTGTTCTGCATTAACCATACATTTGTCTAAACAATTCGAGCATATTTGTGCTGAAAATATTCGCAATGATACATAACCAAGTAATTAAAACTGAGAAGAATCTCCCAATATAGGATAGTTTGCCTTTCAATATGAGTATCGTTAAGTCGAGAAAAATAGCATAACTCGAAGTAGGTACCATATCGTATCGGTATCGATATCACACTTCGCAAAAATCTTTTGGAAAAAATTATTTTTTTCGTGCTTGAAACTTAGGAAGTTGTCTAATCTCAAATGGTCTCTTAACTTTCGGTTGTCATGATATACATGGCAAGAACTGTCTTCGTTTATGACAATTTTCGTGATATTCTTACTATCAGTCCCTCTGGCTCACTGTTGTGTGCATCCATGAAAAACGTATCTTACAATAGAATAGATATCAATGGAATAATAAGATGATCTTAAAAAGTTTTTTTGTTTCGTGTCTGACATCTGGTTTAATTTGAACAAAATCAGTGCAGGACCAACTGATAGAATTCCCCGAAAAATAGATGAGTTTGAGCTCATGCTACAATAAAAACAAAAAATTTCCTCAGAAATTTTTTTAAATGCGATACCGATATTATTGATACTAATACACCGATCACATTATACGTATCGGTGCAAGCCTAACTGGAAGCCACCTTTTCTTTCTGTATTTAGAATATCCAGAATGTACTGTACAAGAAAACGAACTAAATTAGGTACTGGCAAATACTGAATACTTTCATTAGTAAAACAAATGCTGGACACGCCTGTGTAGAAACATTTAGTCCACTATTTCATGGTCACATAGTTTATAAAAATATCTTTAACATAACTTTTTATAAAATCATTAAACAAAAGTCTGAATAGAACACCTGATCGTGAAATATAATATTGATTTCAAAAGTGACGATAAATAGCATCGAAACGTTACGGCTGATTGAATTAGCTTCTTTAGACGCCGTTATAATATACATGAAATGTGAAAGGATTGCTTCAGCATTGAACATTTTTTCTTACAAGAACAAGAAAACAGATTCACATATGATTGTGAATAACGCTCATCTACGCTTCATTCAATTCCTTGGCTGTAGGCGAAAGATTTTTCAGAAATCAAGACTGTCTTTTCTTTTCCAACGTACAAAACGTACATCATGCCTTGCTTCAGTCGACGTTCGAAACAATATTCTATTTGTGATGCTTTTTCGTAATCTCAATCTAAAACTAAATCCATAGAAATATTTTTATTCTTCTCTTTTTGAACGAATAACTAGTACTTGAGTGGATAGTAATACATCACATTCTCCTAAGTCAAACATGACACCATTTATCGTTTCTAATAAGCCACATCGAGAGAAGCTCAGAAACATAAAGAAATTCAAAGGATTCTCAACAGATTCTCTAAACAGAGTTATCTCGACCCGTTTCAGCATCCTAAACTACTTCTATTAAAAGTCATATTAGTTTTGATTTTAGGTGACGAAACTGACAAATAGACATTTTATTCTATAAAATTCTAGACTTAAAATCAAACGAATTTGAAGAAATTAATAATATACTATACCTGTCCATTTGACATCGGAAAAAAAGGGCACATTTCAAAACTAGAAGTCAGCAATTTTCTTTGTAACCTAAATACGCTACATATTTCAATTTGAAGAGATAATTTCATATTCTCTAACAAAAATATTTTCATCATAAAAGAGCATACTAAAGTTTGTCGATAATAATGAAAAACGTTAAAAGAAAGATTATTCAAATATTTTTTTATTTTGTCAATATATATCGAAAGTAGACCAGTGTCAAAAACAAAAATTTAACATAAAAACAACCGCAGCTGCAAAAAGATAAATATAAATTCTAAAAGATTAAGATGCCACTTATCGGATCAACAAACTTCAAAGTTATCTTCATCATTTTGACCGACATTGTTTGATACATTTATCTCTATTATTATGTAATAAACTTGAAAACTGTCTGTCAGATCTTTCAATTCATTATTTTTAATACGTGATCATTTTAATAGCCGTAATTGATCATTAATCAATCGATTGACGTATATGAACATATACATATCTTTCAAACAAAGATTTTCTAATTTTAACCATGTTTTTCCTATTTCACATGATAAATGGTAGGATAAACAATATAATATCTATATTTCCTTTTAATTGACCAATTCAGCTAACAAAGATCCCAAAGAATTTTAAATTAAGTTTAACGCAGTAAGTAATGTTGAATACCATACTAAGCTGGCTAATAATATAAGAGAATTCGATTCTAATGATAATGCTATAGAATTGTTTAATAACCATATTTCGTGTGGCACAAGTTACATACAATCACTAAGATAAGGAACGACTCATAGTGACCATAGAAAAATGATATCCATCTCTCTTTTGATTATCAATAATTTATTTCAACTTTCATTTCAGCTCCTCTCTCTTTCTCTTTCTCTTTCTCTCTCTCTCTCACTCACTCATTAATGCCATCTGTGGACAGGTTCTAATGGACAACTGAATAGATTCAATAACGTTTCATTTTGAATGACTATGTGTCGATTACTTGATTCAAACATCGTTCGTTTCATCCATATGTTAGTAAAATAAAGGATAGATGTAGCAATTCGAGTTGAGAAAAAATGATTGAACATACGGGTTTAATTTAACTCCTAATTAGTAAAATACTTTTATTTAAAGATTGAAAGTACGTTTAGTAATCAGATATCGCTTTTATTCTCGTTTGATAATGCAAACATGTAATTTTGCTTCATTTTCCAACTTAACGACGGGATTTATATAGCTGATAAGGAATAAAACTTGAAAAACACCAATAAATATAATTAAAAAAACAAAACAATATCTGACTAGAACAACATTTAAGTCATTTTACGCTCTCTATGATCAATATCACTTTGATCTATTTTCAGTGTTAGAATTAATTTTGTTAATAGATAAATATGGCACAAATGTAAAACAAGACTACTTGGTATTGTTGACGGATAAATATTCCAACAAAGTTCAATTATACCCAAAATTGAAAGTCTAAAGAGAGAAAAAAGACAAACATTCACTTTTTATATAAAGTACTTTCTACTAGGCGATAATAATGCATTCAAAACCTTTTCTTTAGAATAACTTACTTTGAAATATCGTTTGAAGTTGTACTCCATAGAAGATGATATAACATGTGAAAATACCATACATAAAACTGATAATGTAATGAACGACAAAAACAAATACCAATAAAATTTGAATAGAATAGTACCGTTGTAATATCTGTTTATGTCAATTATTAAGAAAAAAGGATTTTATAAGAAATTAATCTAATAACTTTAGAGTACACATGCTACTTATGTATAAAACTCGGACCCACACACTAACAATGACTATTTTTCTAAAACAAAACTGTTGTTAGAAGAAAAAAGATACAATCATTCGATAATGTATGGTGTTTATGATAATTTAAAAGTTTCTTTACATTCTTTAAATGTCTAAAATGTAAAAAATAATGGTCTTTTTATAATCGATGAGGCAGAAATGTGAGTGACTTACCCAAGCCATTGATAACGGCAAACATATAATAATACGCATACGTGTAAACCTAATAAAGTTAAATGAAAATATCGATTAAGAAATATGTATTCAGGTATAAGACGCCAATTAACAGTCCAGATATAAAAAAATTGTCGACCAAAATCAAATGAACGTAAAATGTATGCAATTGGATTTGTTAACAAAAATGGTAAACCTAAAATTAACTAAAGAAAAAACAAAGAATAACGTTTAATTTGGGCCATTAAAACAATCAGACAGCGACCATTAATTAGCCGCATTAGAAAAAAACAGTTAACAAGTAAGACTTAACCTGTAATGCAGCACAATATCCAATGTATTTGATTGTATTTTGTATTCCAACAGACAACAGAAGAATAATAAAAAGACCCGGTGCCATTAGTAAAATATTCATTTTAATTGAGACAGCCGCGCTAAAAAAAAATGAAACAATATGGGTAATCCATGAATCTATGAAAAAACATAAATCTAATACCTGTAGAGGAGACATCCAGTTAACCATTGCCTTTTCTGAAAGAGAACAATTGAAACATAGAGTAAAGTCATTGCAATTGGATCATTGAATAATCTCAATACAAATATTGAATGGATGCGATAGGAAGTTAAACACATGAATATGTAAGCATATGGAGGAACCTAGAAAAATAGTATTTTGAAATTCAATATTTTATTGAAGACATATATCTGACTTTCATACTTTTTTATTTTTATAGTAAATAGTAAATAGCGTGACCATCATAAAGATATAGATGACAGCAAATAAATATTGTGCTAAACGTATGTTTTTGCCGAGATTGGTCACGTAATAGAATAATAAGTAAACATAAACAAAACCCGCTGGATACCTGAGATGAACAACAAGTAGATGAATAAAACAATTAATTATAAACTATGTTTCCATAACAAAAAGAAACAAACCCATAACTAACACGAGTGGTCCTGTATCTCCTTCTAATTTAAAATAATCATAGGTACCATTTGTTACACCTTCAACTTCTTGCATATAGGCATTCCAATCAATTTCTGTATCTAAACAAATATAGACCTTCAACTAACTACTTCTGGTAATGCATAAAACGCACACTTTGTTGTTTTTATGATCAGAATGTTGATGAATACTTCCATCAGGAGTAAAACACCCATTAAGTACAACGACTTTGCTGGGTCAAATAAAAGCTGTTTGTAAAATGATATAGTACATAAAGAATTGCAATTATGCTTGATTTTGCCATAAACATTCTTGATTTTGCCGTAAACATTCGAAACGAAAGATTTTTTAGAAGATCGACGATATTTGGGTGCTGGAGGCATACTAGAACAAAGAAATCGATGATTTTCACTAAAATTCTACAAAATTCAGTTGCTTTCCATTACATTGGGGACAATATTAAGATATCTGCAGTGTTTTCTATCTTCCTATCCGCTACATAATCATTCAGTTCTATTGAGCAAAGTTCTTTGTCTGTTGTCAAAGGAACGAATGTATCAGAGAGGCACTGGAAGGTGAGAGTAAAGGGCTTTTTTTGGTAAGTGAAATTTCAGCAGAAGAAATGAACTACATTACAGACGAAACTAATAAGAATTTTATTTCAGTAGAAGTTCTATTGATCTGTATCAGTAATTATTATCATAGTATGTAGACTGCCCACTTATTGTGTGATATACAAGAGAATTTCTCCGATGAAATCCAAAACTTTTATCCTATCATCGGAAAAATTCTCTTGTATGTCACACAATAAGTCGGCAGTCTACGTACTATAATCAGATAATTTATTTTACGCAAAAAAAATTTGTTTCATTAAAGTGAGAATGATGGTGAGTCACATCTGCTACTATTACTGCTACTATTTGCTCTTTCTTGACTAATAATAATTCAATCCTTTCTATGCTGGATAAGATGTTTATATGTAGAGGCATCACCTCACAACTATATTCTACCCGTATATCGTACAAAATGGCTTAAATTAGAATTATAGATTTGAAGAGTTATGAGTCAATCTCAAACTGATTTCTGGATAAGGTTCAAAGCAAATAAAATGTTTCCAAAATATCATTACGTTCAGATAGATTGTCCGGATGAGCTTGTCATACCTTAAAGGGTAAAAGAGTACTGAGAGTAGAGTCCTTTGCTTTCTGTTATGATCATAGCTCGAAAGATCCTGCCTTTTCTTAGCGTATGTCGAGAACTTTTTTTAACCGCTAAAAATTTTCGGCAGTAATATGCATGATAAGTTTTAATAACGCTTAATAAATTAACTGATATTCCTCCGCGTAGACAAAAGTGAGAATAGTGGTGATATAAGTGGGAGAATAACTGCTACATGAGTGTTTTTGTTGTTCACTGACTAAACAGTCCCAAAAGCAATCATGGATTTGTGTATACAAATGGAAGAGTAGTAGGGCATGAAAAGTTTAAAGTTTTTTACAGCGATCACTGCGATCAAGAAATGCATAATACGCGGTAATTTGTCTAAACGACAATTTTCTTTCAGATATTTTATCGTCGATCACAATCAAAAGAATGTCGCGTGCAGCTGGAACTTTAGTGACGACGTACAATTCAACGTATTATCCTCCATCGTTGATGCCAGGGTGAGAACTGTAACATTCTCTTTTATATTTTTATGATGCATTTCCTTCTTTTCAGATATCGTGGTCATGTTCCAACGGTGAGCACTATATATTTTGTGAATATTCACCTTAATTATTTTTGTTTGTTTTTCCATTGTAGGTGAATCTACAGTATGGTGAAACGTTTGGTAATTCGACAGCAAAATATTTCCAGGATTATAGGTAAAGAATTCATCTAGTGTCGGAACTCAGACTGCAAAAAAGTGACGTTCCCAGCAAAAAGACCAAAAAAGGGAAAAAGTTTGCGCTAGACTAACTAAAGCAATGAGTTTGTTTGAAAACGTGGCATATCTGTATAATTGAAGGACTACTTCGCCATTTTGAACAAGACTTTACATTTAGAGGTTTCTTGGCGTTCCTGATGCCAAAAGTTAGCATTTTATCCCGATCCAGTCCTCTATCCTCACCGCACATATCTGATGTTAGTCTTTGCGTTTAAGGTCACTGAAAAAAGCAGAGTTTAATTCGTGCAGCGAAACGTTTTTTGGTCTTTTCTTCAGATATATAAGATCTTGCTGCCAATGTAGCTAAGTTTTATCCGAATAACATAGTTCTAAATTCAAAAATTCTACATCAGAACGGAGTAAGGCTCAGCCTAACAGAGACAGCCTAGTGGTTCCGCTGCCTTTACTTCAGTTGTTTTTCTTTATGATTCGTTTATCTTTCTCGTTGCAGGAGTGAAGCACTCAATTCATCTAAAAGTTTGTATGCGAGAGGTATGTAAAAATTTAAGACGATTTAGTATAAAAAGAGGACAGAAGTTTATTTGCTATAGGTGGATATTTTCCTACACCATACACGCATCAACCCGAATTGGTTCTGAGTGATCGACGTCGATCGAGAGATCGTTATCTCTATATTCCAAAATACAGTTTAAATAATCAGGACTACGATCGCACTAGTGAAATTCGAAAGTTTCATCAAGTAAATTTGAAACATCAATTTATTTGTCATGTTTTCGTATAACGTCATTTAACTTGCTTAAAATCATATATTTTCGTTATTTTTCACCATAGCTTTCTCAACATCATCGTGATGCTTACACGGACAGAAGTGGAACACTGCACCCTGGTGAGTAATTCGTTTATGGATATGTGTGACCAAGTGGCAATTGTATTGTTATCGGCAGTTGCCTTCGTTTAATTTGCGTGTGCTCTAGTTACTTCAATAAGTCTCACTAAATTTATACATTTTAGTTGATCATTTTTCTCCGCTTCCGGTTCCTAACGATAGAATGTACGAAGCTCATTTGCCATAGTAAGTTGAAACTATTTTTTTCAAATAGAGAATTTGTTATTCAATCTTTCTCTTCTCTTTACAGTTATTCGATGTTACTTCGTCACACATCTGATGTTAATATTCCAGTAGAAAAAAATTTTCCTCCAATTAAAGATGTCTCAAAACATAGTGATTTCACAATATTTGGTCGAACTGGTAGAAATTTAGGTTCAGCTTCTGCCTTTGGTGGTTCGACACCATCGCTAAACGTTCCCATTCAACCTAGAGCAGCAAGCAGCGTTCCAACCGTCGATTACATATGTTAAAAACAGAAAAGAATAAAGATAATTGCAGTAAACAGCATAGTGACCGGAAATATGTCAGTTTTTTTGTTGCTTTCGTTAAAATTTTTATATAAATTAATTTATATTTTTTTAAACCATCTTGTTTTATCGTCTATATATTTTTGATTTTCTCGTTTTTGCTTGGTATACGGAACCGAACTCAACTAAATAGAGAAAAGTTTGAAGAGTTTTTAACTTATTCATGTGAATTATTCGTTTTCTAATTGCAGAAAATATAGAAAAGATTGTATATAATGGTGTGTTTAATGCTGAGTATATATCGAAATACACGTTTACTATATCATTCATCGAGGTCAAATTGATAACGAGTTTTTATTTTTCAACGGGGTGAAATAAATAGGATTTTTCTTTCATATACTTCTTTATCACATTAAGATTATTCTAAACTTTAATTTCGCAGATTTAAATTGCCAAATATCAAGTGATTATCTTAAATGCATATTGCATCAGTAAACTTCATGTCTTTATTATTTTATTCTTTTCGAAATATTTTTATCCAAAGTTACAATCTGATTAACTGTCCAATTTCTTTATTTATATGGATATTTTTCTTTTTAATTTGTTAAATTAACATTGAATTATTATCAGATTCTTCTATTATAGTAGATACCGTGCTCAATTGTTCATCTTCTGCTAAATTCTTGTCTATTATTATATTAAAAGAAGAATTGGACGAAATGGTACTTATTGTCGACGGAGAACTGTTCATATATTCTCGAATAACGATTATTCTCGTCTTGTACTCGTCGTTAACCATCGGGAGAACGTTTTTTTCTTCTTCCTTGCTACCTGAAAACAAGTCCAAGATATTGTCTAAACGTTTGTTTGAAGCTTCAGGAATTGGTTTGTGTGTTACCGTACGAACTGGAGTCGAATTTTCACTTGATGATTTACTATATTTATTACTGGTGTAGACAACAGATTGAACCTCTGGTGGATAATAATTAAAATGTAGTGTCGGTGGATTCATTTTGGATGACGTTTGCAATTTAGCAGCACGTGTTTTCGATTTAGGTCGACTATGATAACGATATGATGTAGGAATATTATTGTTTCGGAAATCGACAGTGGTAGATCGATAGCGTGAAGAAGACAATTCATCTTTTTTATGCTTATCAGGTTCCGTTGACACTGTCGATGATGACAATGAGTTGGTTAATTCACTTAGCTCCTGTTCTTTTGGTTTAAATACAACTTTTTCTCCTACTATTCGTTGAATGAGTGGCGATAGATTTTCATTTGTTCCAGGAATATTAACAAGATGAATACTCTCGTTGCTTGTTGCTGATCTTATGTCTTTGTTGGCGTTTGGCCTCTGTGGCTGAAGCATCCAAGATGATACTCGATATTTCCGTTTACGTTCTGGAATTTCAAAATATTCATCGGATAATAATATAGATCCTGGAGGAAGAGGTGGAGTTTTGCGCAACCATGGTCGAAGTAGAGCAGGTGGGTTGAGTAAATGTTGGTGTGGGTCAGGTAAGAATTGAGGAACTACCGGATGTCGAAGTAAGGGTGTAACTCTTCCACTTCTTCTTTCATTTCCCATGTCATTTGGAATATGATGACAGCACGAACAATGTTGAATCCAACAATTGCCATTAACAGGTATATTCAAAGGTGGTGGCATAGGGACACATGCTCGGCATATCACTGAGGTACCATATTGTTGTTGTGGTGCTGATGGTAAATATGAACTGGGCTGCATTAAAGAATTGGAAAATGTTTGAGCCATTATTTGTTGTTGCGGAGTTGATAAAGCAGATAATACAGGCTGCGTTAAAGGATTCGATGCCAGTTGTTGTGGTTGAATAATCGGCGCTGTTATTTGTTGTTGTGGTGCTGATGGTAAATATGAATTGGGTTGCATGGACTGCATCAAAGAATTAGATAATATTTGAGCCATTATTTGTTGTTGCGGAGTTGATAAAGCAGATAATACAGGCGGTACTAAGGAACTCGATGCCAGTTCTTGTGGTTGAATCATCGGCGCTGTTATTTGTTGTTGAAAATTTATAGGCTGCGATACCGAACTCGATATAAATTGATGTGATTGATTAAGAGAAGGTACTATCTGTTGCTGTTGTGAAATTGGAAGATATGGAGAAGGTACTATCTGTTGCTGTTGTGAAATTGGAAGATATGGAATAGGCATAATTTGTTGTTGTTGAGGCGGCACCATTGAACTCATTGGAATCATGGGCAACACGAACTGTTGTTGATTGATCATACACGCTTGTGGAGTAAACATTGACTGTGGTGGAGGAGGTACAAAACCTCGATTAAACTGATTAAACTGATACGCTTGCATTGCTACTTGTTGTTGCTGTAGTTCATTATTCATACAGAACGAGTTTTGCATTATTGACGCAAACGGATAAACAGCAACAGGATTTGAATAGCGCTGCATTACCATTTGTTGCAGTATAGGCGCTAATGGTAAATAAGAAATCGGAGGCAGCGGTGGCGGAAGAGGCAAAGAGCAAAGAGGTTGCGCCATTCGACTGAACAGAAATGGCGGCATTGTCTAAAGGTAAAAAAGATAACTCGATTATAGTACTTAGCTTTAAAGGCTAGCCATGCACTCACTAATGGTCCCATCGATGGTTGAATAAAAGGATATGAAACGGGAACAATGACATATTTGAGAGCGCCGGTTGTACGCCCGGTGTAAAGGTTAGGTTTCGTGATGTACACTGGATAAGGTTGATATCTAATTTCTCTCTCATAACCAATAGGGGGACCGTCATAAGATCCTTGTGGCTGATAAATTGGCCTTGGGACATATGGCTGTTGTGTAGTATAAAGTCTTTGTTGATTATTTAGGAGGGCACGTAAACGTCTCATATAAGCTTCATACTCGAGCTGTCTTTCCACATCATTTACAAGCATAGCGAACTGTGTACCGAGTCCCGCTTTTTTATTTGATTGCATCATATTTGGTGCTCCTTTATAATACGGTCCATAACCATAATCGTAATGAGGATAAGGCTGATATGCTGGATGCATAAACTGAGGAGCAGTCATCTGATAGTTAGATTGATGTTGGAGTGGTCTCGTCCCATAGTAGCCATAGTTTCCATAACCTCTACGGTAGCCTCTGGCTGACGGGGCAAATTCCATCGGATACCCATTATAGTTTCGTGGAATAAGTGCCATTCGATCTTCACTGCTTCCAAATACGAATTATTTGGTAGAGAATGAGCTGAGGAATTATTTTATACATAGTCAACTTGTGATCTACAATGTTTTCTCAATGACTTTTCTATAAAGTTGAAACAAGACTATAGTTCTAGTTGCATTACATCAAAAGAATTTATTGAGCTTGCAGTGCCTTTCGAGATATTCTATCGAATTCATAATTGGTCACAAACGGAGATGTTGAGATCTTGTCTGTTTCGAACAATATTGTGCTATGTACCAAGGTTAAGTATTGTTAATCTCGGAAAATCCACAATACACCGAATTAGTAATTTTAATCAAAAATGCATCTATAGTTAATTCATCGACTTATTAACTCCTACCGGACAAAAACACGAAAATTTGGAATATATTCTACTTATGATGGTCGTTATAATGGTTTGCTTTACTCGTATAATCGACGCAAACAACAACAGACCTTGCGACATAAGCTTTTTTTTGTGTTCAAGTATATCTGATATGGGCACTTCTAAGTGAAAACGTTCGCCAATGATAAAAAGAAAAGCATCACAACAAAAAAATTAATGATGTATTAAACACTGCTTAACTTCATTGCAAAACCACAAAGCCAAAAAATACGAACAGAATAATTTCATAGAAGCGTATCGATGTCCTTGGTCACTGTAAACTATCAAGTCTATATAAAACTATTGTATTTTTTCTCATCTAATTTTATTGAGTGAAATCTTAATTTGTACACTCATATATTGAAATAAGAAATACTATTTCTCTTCTAACACAGTCACAAAAAATACAATATATAATTACACTCATTTTCGGTTAGCGAAGGACATCTTTGTGTGAAAACTGTCAGTAGAGACCTTGGGATTGGAACTAACGTATATTTTCTCCTTTTAGATAAACTAAAAAACCTAGAGATTTGTAATTTAATCCTGTTCTGTTTGAGCAAAGATGACTATCAAATTTTTCGTTTACAATGCATATTTTGATCTCAAGAAACTTTTAAATATTTAATATGAATCTAGTATTGCTAATTTGATTTTAATCTTAAATCAATTGCCTTGATGCTAATAACTAACAATCATCTTGCATCATAAATCTAATTCTGTGTTTACAATTTTATATCAAATGTCAACTATTTAAAGTCACACTGTGTGTAGTATTACCACATTCTGTTGATAAATCTTTACTTGTTTACAAAAAAAACAAAGACGAAGAAGAGTAAGAATTTAAAGCCAGAAAAGGACAATTCGTTGATCTTTTCTCAGCAGGATCAAATCACTATTTCATTCAATACAAAGCTTTAGTCGTTACATCATTAGAGTGTATTTAAAAGAAAAAACATTTGCATACCGTATGTTGTTCAACGTAATCCAACTTCGACATTTTACATATTTCTGACTAGAAAAAAAGACGGAAGAAATTTCATTGTCTTTTAAAAGAATAAGAAATAAGACGATATGATCCTTTATAATTTTCAAAACTAATGGACTAGTGTTCAATTTAACAACAGATAAAAGAGATTCAAATTATAAGACTTCATAATACAAGAGTCAAAACAAATATTATTATATTAGATAATGACTTTACCCAAATGTCTACCAGTCTTTGACTTAAGAAAAGAGTATAAGAGATACTAGTTCATTTCGAAAAAATTTGAAAAGGTACAAAAAAGTATACTGATTTTTGTCATGATTTTCTGAAAAACTATTGAAGTACCAACTTTTAAATCATCCAGACCATGTAAATTAGAGCATCTACTACTTTTGTTGATTTCGAGTGTATCGGCACTGAAAAAATCAGCTATTGTCATAAAATCGAGTTTCTCTTGATTTTTATCGTTTGTCTAGAAACAAACATTGCCACAGAACTCAATGTGATTAATTATCCATGTTCCATCCATTTCTGACGTTATTAAGCGTCACAATGGAGCAGTCCTAAGGCTCCTAGCAAATCAGGCATCATGCTCAAACCAATGAGGAATGTAGAGGTCGCACGAATCACATTTTAAATACGACATTATAGACTGACTGTCCGCGTGATAACATATATATTGCTATTATATATATTCAATATAAAATATTTTAATTTAATTATTTTAATTTAATTAAATTTAATATATTATATATATATTGAAAACGAATATATTGCTATTTCTTTTAAAAATTAAAGAGTATCTCAACAATTCGTTAAAAGCGTCTAGCCTAGAAAAACATGTTTAAAACTTTTCTCTGTATAAAATGCCAAACTTTTTCTACAAACTGATGCTTCTCTTACATTTTGTTTAAAAGTTTAACAAATAACCAAATATATTATTTTTTGAAATTGAATACTCCATGGAGTTATCCAGTCGTAAAAAAAGTGTAGCAACTGATAATTATAAGAAAAAACGTTTATCGAATAATTTTCATTATTTTTCGATAAGGATCTAGAGCTAACTATAGCTTTAGAATGCTATACGTTTGATGAAAATAGGTATTAGTACATTTTTTTTTGAAAAATAATTTTCTATCAATAACCTTGAATCAATTGTCGTTGTTTATCTGGGTTGGTATTAGAAACTGTATATACTCATGATGTAAATTACTTTCGCTTGTACAGATAGGTGATCATCATTTTTACTATATTGGGCCTACTTTTTTTTGTTTAATTCTATCAGCAAAAAACAAATTGTTGAAAGAAAAAAAAAAGAAAAGAAAGTGGATATACAATAATAGTAGAATAAGTAGTTAGGTAAACTTTCAAGTTGATCCAACGTGTCAACAAACATCTCAAACCATTGAACGCCCTACATTTCTTTTGTAACGAAGATGAACATCATCAATTTATATACTATTTTGTCAATTCAGTTATTTTATTCTTTGTTGTTCTGTGTTCTCTCAATTGACAATAGCTAGTTTTTCGTTTGTAATCTACTAGTATCTCTTTATATCAATAACGAAAAAGAAAAAGAAGAGAAATCAACTCACTCTCTCAACACTCTATGTTGATCTTTGCTATCAAATAATCATATGTCATACGCAGAACAATATTTCACATCAAAATTAGATCAATTGTATTTATATTGATTTATTAGAATATCTCGATTGACCGACCGTACATCGGTCATGACTAAAAAATTCGTAAAAACTGTGATCGTCGTCTATATATACATCAATATTTTTCTCATAACCGGTTTGTATTGTTTTTGAATGTTTTTTTTAGAACTTTTTTAGTAAATATCTGCTCGGTGAAGGAATATCTTACTAGATTCATACAATCAGTATTTTGATCAGTAAAATCTAAAAACGCTTTGTCTAGTCAATCAATTGTTTGTATTAGAAATTTGATCATGTCTCATTCACGCCAATTGAGTAATTGAGACATCTTAACAAGTTAACATGAGATCGTTAAAACAATACGAAATAGCTATCGAATTTCTATGTAACATATCTTAAATATGCACCATTTCAAATCCTCTAAGATCATACTGCACTATCAATAAAGTATTTAATCAAAAATGCCATCAGGAAAATATCAGTCTATTTCATGGAAGCTGATGATACATGTATATGTGTTGTATAGATGTTATCCAGGCTGAACAACATTCAATATTTATCCCTGGTTTACTTCGTCAGTTTGATTATCCAACTAATAATGAAAATGAATATCCCACAAGATTAGACAATGAAGAACCGCTGGTACCAAATGAGCAATCGGTAGATAATTATTTTAGAACAATAAACATTGACGATGAGCAACGAGAAAATACAACGACGGTAATTACGGTTTTAAATGAGACAGTAAATAATAACTTTGAACAACAATTTCTATTAACTGCAATTGTACCAGAATATTTAACGAGCATCAACACTACTGTAAGCAGTACAACAACAACAACGACGCCGACGCCGACAACAACAACAACAACGACAACGACAACAACAGCAACAGAAAATACCACTCAAGCAGATTTAAATGTAGACCAGACAACAAGTAATGACAATACCGAGACAGAATTACAAACCACTGCTACTATTCAATCACACGTTACCTATAGCCAATTAAACATTTCAACACAAACTGATAATAAAATCTATGTAGAATCAGCTTCTCATTATCATTCCAAATTTGATATTACAGCAACATCGACAACAACGACAACAACGACAACAACAACAACAACGACAACAACAACAACGACAACAACAACAACAGAAACATCAACAATGTCTGCTACTACAGATATATCATATCAAGTTCAAGAAATAAAATCGGAAAATATAAACCAAAATACGACCACAATGCAGACTTTAAATACTAGCACCACCACCATCGTTTTGCCAACAACTACTGAGGTTATGTTTGATTTTAAGAATATGAGTGTTGTTGCGCGAAATTTAATGCATAATTCAAGTGATAAAAAAACGATGCAATCGTTAATCCATTTGCTACCACCAAATTTGTGGACACAGTTACAACAAAATCTAACATGGGATATGAATCAAACAAATAATCGTATAGCTTTACCGGATCCCGTATTACTAGCCGAAGCAGCTGCTAAAGCTGGGCTGCAGGGGCCCGGCCCGCATCCTATTCCTGATTACGCTTGGCTTAATATTCCTTCGCCACAAAATTTCTTTCAAAATCAAAATGACTTTATGAAATTGAATGAGCAACAGCCTAAAACTACTTTATACAAAACAACGATGGGTAACTACCATTCGAATCTTTTGCAGTCACAATCGCTTACAGTTATTTTCCTTTTAGCACCAACACCTTCAACATCCAAACCAGCAGCAGAGAAACAAAATCAAATGAAAACATCTGACATATTTTACAATAACATATCAAACAACAATAACCAGTGGAATAGACCGACAACAAGAACTACAACCACAGAATCATCAGTAAAAACCACAATAACAAAAGCATCAAAATCATCGACAAAACCTCTTACTCGATATCCGCTCCCTCGCGATAAAAATCGCCAACAATATTTACAACGTCTACCACCACAGTTTCCAGGATTTAATGACATGGATTATCCCATCCCCAAAGAAACCACCAGATTTCCTGTGCAGCAACGACAGTCATCTACTCAAATACCAAACCTTCAATCAGTATTGGCACAAATTGGCGTTTCATGTCCAGCTGGATCAAGAGGAATGAAATTTCCTGATAATCGTTTATGTAACATGTATTTCACGTGTACACAATCAGGTTTACCAGAACCATCATTATGCCCTGAAGGTTATCTATTTTCAGATACGGCTCATGACTGTGAATCAGGTAGGTTTATTAGTCACATTCAAACTATTAGGCACTATATCTAATCAAATTCTTGTAGCTGAGAAAGTGTCATGTGGAGGACGATTATCTGCTTATTTTGATGGTGAAGTGAAGGCAGAGAACAAAAATAATATCGTACCAAATCTTGTTAATGGAACATTGGAATGTATACTGGGTGCTGATGGATATTATGAAGACCCATTTTATTGTAATATATATCATCATTGTTTGGCTGGTGTTGATTATGTTGTTCATTGTCCAAATCAATTGGCATGGAATGAAAAGAAGAAAATGTGTGATTGGGCAACAAATGTTAATTGTACAGGAAAATCGTTGCCAGTCGTACAAGGTAAAACGACATTTTGTACAAACAGAAAAGATGGACGATATATATCGGATACGTATTGTAATGCATTTCATCATTGTATTGGTGGTACGGATCATATTGTACGATGCACAGGCGAACTACAGTGGGATGATAGTAAAAAAGAATGTGGATGGGAATCGATTGTAAAATGTGGTGCACCAAAGAAAATGTTGCCGAATCAAGATAAATTTAATTCAACATTCTGTACAGGAAAAACAGATGGGTACGTATATATAATTTATGCAAGACTCGTTTGATCATAGTATCTATGTATTTTTAACTATTTGAGATCATATCCACACGAAGAATTTTGTAATGTTTATCATGTATGTGAATCTGGATCAGATAACATGCGACAATGTCCACATCAGGTAAATATTATTGTATGCTCTGGTAGCCTATTAACAGTTGTATGAGTAGAAGTCATAACTATCTTTGTATTAGCTTTTTTGGGATAATGAACAACAAAAATGTGAATGGTCAAATAATGTCAGATGTACCGGTCGCACGTTGGTAGCTCTATCGATGGAAGCAAGTTTATTTTGTATGGAAAAATCAGATGGTTTCTATATCGATGCAATCTGTAAGAGTCTACTATCAGAGGTGGCCGAACCATAGGAGCAGTGAGGACGCCGTCCCCAAAGATTTCTGAATATACAAAGCAGATAAAGTAGATTGTTTTATGTATAAATATCGGAAAAATATTTCAATATTTATATTCAGTTCCCCCCCCCCAAAAAAAAATTATCTTCACAGCTTCTAACTCGCTCCACCGCCTCTGTCTATTATCAAGAAAGTTTCTATTGCATTATTAATAATGTTCTCTATTTTATAGACTGTAATGTTTATCATCAATGTATGGCCGATATTGATGTTAAATTACGTTGTCCCGAACGCTTAGTATTTAATGAAACATTAAAACGTTGTGATTGGCCAGAAACAACACATTGTAAAGGTGGAAATATTTTACTTGAAGGAGAAGAAAATGGAGGATTTTGTACAGATAAGGTATAGATAATCTACTTACTGATTGATGCTTTACAGTTTTATGCATATTTTGTTTTAGCCAAACGGTGAATATCCACATGATCATTTTTGTAATCGTTATTTCATTTGTCAAAATGGGAAAGATATTGTATTTACATGTCAGAATAATTTGAGATATTCTGCAGAGAAGAATGAATGCGATTGGGCTGTTAATGTTGATTGCGGTGCGAAACCAGATTACATGTGGGAAGGAATTAAAGAAAATTTTTGTAAACGTTTAGTAAGTGATGCGTATATATAAACATTATCAACAGAACTGAATGAATTTAGAAATAATTTTTTAGCCTGATGGTAATTATCCAGATTTAAGATTCTGTAATATATTTCATCAATGTCAGGCAGCCATGGATTACCCAAAACGTTGTCCGAATCGTTTAATGTTTAATGAACAAACGAAAGAATGTGATTGGGAAGATAAAGTCGATTGTAATGGACGAGAGAAACTTATCGATACTGATGGTCTTGAAGATGAATCTCGACCCGGTACGAATGACACTAGAGGACGATCAACAAAATTTTGTATGTTGAAGCAAAATGGAAATTTTGCCGATTCATATTATTGTAATGTTTATCATAATTGTCATGGTGGATTTGATGTAAGTAATAAAAACTAAGGCAGATATCATAATTTTCTAGCTAGTTTATGTGATTTTTTAGACCATTCAATACTGTACAAAAGGCTTAGTAGGTGTTAGAGCGTGCAATGTCGCCTATCCGGTATAAGATGAAGAATTATTATTATAGGTTTGGAAACAAGAGACAGAATTAATGGGAAAATGTGATTGGTCAAAAGAACGATCGGCCGAGGGTGTGGATTGTGGTGGAAAGGCATTGTAAGTCTTTATTCGATTACTTCTAGTGTGAGCTTTGTGAAGTAAAATGCTGATCTTTAACGTTTATGGTTAGTATTTTTAAAGAACCTTTGTATAGAAGTACTAAGGTCCTATTAATCGTTTTACTTTCTTTGTAGATTTTTCATTGATAAACTTGCCGACTCTGACATATTGTCAAATTTGAGATCGGAATTTTGCATTAGTAAAGGGCCAGGATTATATGAACATCAACGTTATTGTGATCTTTATTTGCAATGCAATGAACAAGGTGTTGGTGTGACAATGGAATGCAGTGGTAAGGTTGATTACCATCATACTTTCATCTGAGAGATAATTGCTGTTTTCTTTCTAGCCGGTCTTGTTTTTAACGAAAAGAAGAAGGAATGTGATTATCAATCGGATGCCAATGGTGATCATGGTACACAATGTGTAACACCAAGAAGTTTTCTGAGAGCTAAACCACAAGCCGAACATGGAACAGTTTTGTTCGAAGGTGCTGATGCCACTGGACAATTTCCAACGCGATTTGACTGTTTAAATAAAGATCAGCAGAGTATGTTTGCCGATTTTGATTGGTGTAACATTTATCATGTATGCATCGGAAATCGAGATAATATATTTTTATGTCCACCGGGTACACTGTTCAATGATACAAAGCAAGGATGTTTCGATCGTTTGAACGGAAAAAATTGTAACGGTACCAATAGTTATTATAAACCGGCGATTAAACGTCATAAACGAACGCGTACTGGCATAATAAATAAACCATTGAGACCATCGATTGATGATGATAATGAGAATTCAGATGTAATTGATACATCGAGGGAGACAAATTACAGGATTCCTTCTGAATGGCGACAATTTGGACTTCATCATTCAGAGCGTGACACGTCTAACGGGAGGTATAAATCGGCAAAAGACGATCGTAGCAGACAAGATTTAATCGAAACTGAACGTGAAAATGGATGGTCAAAACAACATCAATACAGAGAAAATAGAATGAATGACGATGATGATAATGTTTTTGTAAGAGAGAATGATGCACACCAACGTCAACGCCGACAGGTAGGAAAAAGATTGTCTTACTACAGTTCTATAGAGTTTATTTTCTATACTACAAAAAATTGTTTTATTCATTGTAACAGAGTTTGCTTGTTTAGATAGATATGAATGAATATCGGCAGATCATTAATTTAGTAACATCTGTTAGAAATCGATCGAGGTCGTCATCTAGGAGTAAAGAAAAAACAAACCCAACAATCTATTCAGCAGCATTACTTTCGATTCCAACAACAACAAATAATAGATTAAAATTAATGATGTCTACGGCTAAACAAAATCAATCGACAAATAATGAGAGGAGCAGAAAATAACAATCACAACTTTAGGAAAAGTATATCTGTACTCACGAATAATATGAACTCAAATAGGCCTCTTAGCGTTTGTAAAAGTAAAAAAAATGTCTCGATTTTTCTCAGAGATAAGAAAAAATTGGTTTTTCTTCTGTCAATCAGACTCGCTCGATAATCTTACAAAATGCTGAATTCTGTAATTTTGGTTGTTTTTTTATTGTTGATGTAATCAAACGAACTCTTTTTTGTTTTTAGTATGAATTCTTTGTTTTCGTTTCATTTAAACACTTTATTTTTTTTTTGTGTTTTATAAATAAAGATAAAAAATCCTTTCGCTCGCACAAAATTCTTCTCATTTTTAAACTATATTGTGCATAGATCAATACGTAGATCTTGGCTAATATTAAAAAACAAAAAAATCTGGTGAGATGTAAAATATTTACAATAAAGTAAAAAGATTATACTTTTCCATTTTTTAAAAAGTCAAACATTTTTGTAACCAATAAATCAAGATCAACCTTTTGTTTCCAACCCCAATCTCGACGAGCATTTTGATCATCAAATACTTCTGGCCATGAATCGGCTAATAGATGAATAAATAGACATGTATGAATATAAGCTGATCAAATAAGTAAAAATGATTTAATACCTATATTTTGACGAGCATCAGTTTTATACGTTATTTTAAATTTTGGAAAATGTTTTCGAATAGCTTTTGCCAATTCATCTGGTGTAAAATCCATTGCGGACACATTATACGTTCGCTGTTTTAATTTTTCAGGTGATGCTTCCATAAACAATTCAATTGATGTTACACAATCATCGATATACCTGAAAAAAATAATGATAGACAATGGTATCTCAAAACAGAATTTATCACTCACATCATTGGCAAACGAGTATCAGCACTCAGATAACATTCATATGAATTATTTTTTAATGCATCATGAAAGATTTCAATGGCATAGTCTAAAAGTAGACACAAATATACCCTATGAATTAATAAGAAAGAACTTACCCGTTGTACCCCCACCCGGTTTTGTATCTGCTGATATCACTCCTAAAAATATTTGCAAACAATATCAACGCTTTCTTCTAATATCGTGTATAGATCTTACCTGGAAATCTTAGACATCGAAAATCGACGTTATATTTATGAAAATAATATTCGCCCAATAATTCAGCATGAACTTTTGATACTGAATAAAAGTAGAAAAAACTATTTTCAATTCAATGACTATTGTGCTTATTAGTACCTCCATAAATCGTTCTTGGTCGTTGAATACAGAAATCAGGCGTTGGATTTCTTGGGGAGTCGGGTCCAAATGCTCCTGTGAAGAAATATTTAATTATTATTAGTTTCATTTTAAATATTTTTTTCTTACCAATTGTACTTGGTATAAACAATTTGCATTTATATTTTCGTGCTAAATCAAGAATATTATGGACACCTTCAATATTCAATTTCATTGCTAATGGAACATTTTGTTCGCCTATAGACGAAAGAGAAAATAATAGATTTTTTTATCGAATACTACCTTCATAATATCGCTTAAAAAAAGTACTCACCCACTGCACTTAATAGTGCACTTAAATGAATGAGCCAATCAATTTGTTGATTAACAATTAATTCTTGAACTTGTTTGTAATCCATTACATCCGCATATCGATAGGTACCTACAGACAGACTTAGAGTTAGAAAGAGATCATAGTCTATATATCTGTAGTCGACATTTTCAACAAAGTTTTCGAGAACTTCAAAAATTATCATGTTTTGGGAAGTAAGAAGTAGCTCAAGATTTGAAGTCATTTATGCTATCCACTTGAAAATCGCTTTTGAGACAAAACCTAGTGGGCGATAGGTAATCGACCATGCTGATCCTGAATATCGACATGAGACGGACAGTTAGGCCTTCAAAGACCCGTTTTCTGGTAAACCAGTTTTTCAGAAACTCTAAAAAATAACCAAAATTTATAAAACATGATTGTAGTCCGCAAATTTCTGACTAAAATGAGACATCTCCCAGCTCTACACAACCTTTCTTTGCAGAGTTATAGAGTTTACAAGAAAAGCCCTAAATTAATTTTTCCTTATTTCTGTAGTCTTAAGCTGACAATGAACATTTAGGGCTTTTTTTATAAATTCTATAACTATGTAAAGAAAGGTCGTGTAGAGCTGGGAGATGTCTCATTTTAGTCAGAAATGTGCGGACTACAATCAGACCTTATTAAGAAAGGTTTGGGCCAGATTTTAGAGTTTCTGAAAAACTGGTTTACCAGAAAACGGGTCTTTGGAGGCCTAACTGCCCGTCTCATGTCGATATTCAAGATCAGCATGGTCGATTACCTATCACCCACTAGGTTTCGTCTCGAAAGCGATTTTCAACTTGGTGGTCCTCCGTCGTCAGCATTTGTGAACACTCTTTCAGAAAACAAAATGTTCGCAGCAAAATGTGTAACACCGTTTGAGACATAATGTTTCAGTTGTTCTTCTCTGTGGACGCCGCCATCGAAAAGTATTCGAATTCTTTACGGAGTATCTGACGCTATTCATTCATCGCTCTGTTTTGATATCGTATATTATATATAAAAAGCACCACTTTATTGAAAAATTCTTCTAATTTTTTCTCCTCGTAGATGATTACTAATCAGAAGGTGTTGACCTATACGTAAACGCTATGAAAGTGACGGCACATGAAAAAACTATATTCATAAGTACAAAGAAAAGAAAATTCGTTCACCGTTTTGTTTCGCGTTCAGATATATATAAAAGAAAACCATATATTTATAAGAATGACATACGTGCGTTTTTTTTCAACTGGATTTTGTAGAGCAAGCATTTTTCTACAAAATGAACTATGGTGAAAGCCTTCATGTCTCCTATTTCTCCCGCAATCACTTTTCGATGAAGAGCCTTAAATCGGTTATAACCGGTGTATGCCCATTTACGACGCTAGTTCTCAAGGATGTCCCAAGGACTCGTTTTTAAACTTTTAGGAAAGTTTTAGCAATGTAATTTCCGAAAGATTTTGTTGAATTAGTATCGACTAGTGTTAATCACAAAGAAAACCTTGTTTTAATAATACGGATGTTGGCCTTGCAATATCAGATAAAACAACATTTTCTTGGCCATATTTTTCTCTTGAATAAGTATAATTGAAAATTATTTTACATCATTATATACAAACTGACATGTATCACCAACCGTAATCGTTTTGCCAATGGTACACCTAATTGTCCCAGTCCACCTAAAAATTACATTTTAAAACTCATAGTACGTGTATTGTGTGAGGCTACTTAGTTGGGATCACTTTTTTGATAAAATACGTAACATAAAAATTAACATCAAAGAAACATTACAAGGCGAGAAGCGCAAAATGAGAGTGAGTGGAAAAACAGTGAATGAGCCGTATTGTGCCACTGTTTTCTAGAGTTGAAAAACGAATCAAATTTAGACTAAATATATTATAAATAAAATGCGAAAATTTTTTTTGTTATTGAAAACTTTAAGAGTTTTGCTTAGTATATAAATTTTGATTAATGTGTAAAAATGATTTTACACATTAATCAAAATTTTTTTTGTTAAAAATAATCCGTTTCAATCAGTTTTCAAAATATCATTTCAACTTTTCATGTTGCAGTAAAATGAATGTTTCCGACATGAACTTTTTGTAAAATTCAAAATCCAAATGATATGTTAAGGCAATGGTTTAAAAAAAGTGGATTTTTAAAAAACTAAAATGTGCTTCGACTGTATTTTGAAAAAGTAAAATAATTTTTGTTTCCTCGAAAATCCAAGTATAATCTCATATGTTTTACAGGATTACATCCTTTCTTTTTTTAACAATTTTTAATAAACTCTTAATTATTTTGATAATAAAGTTAAAAGGATGAATGTTACAGCCGCACATGTCTTGAATTTCTATATCTTATCCTTGCCTTTTAATCCTATAATGGAATACATCCGTTCTAGTTTTCTAACATACAAATTTCTTTCAAAAATAATCATGTCTGAATTTTTAAATTAGCTTTATTTTCATAATTTGTCATATAATGCGTTCTAATAAGTTTCTTACCTGTTATCAAGATTCTTGGAATTGCATTACTCTCTGAGTATAGTTGACGTATACATGTTTGACTAACATTGATTGGTCCATTTAAAAAACGATTTCGAAGACAAGATAACATTGGTATAATAACTAAAAATTTAGTTTAGAGATGTCTACTTTGTTTTACAGATACTCTCTTTACAGTCTTCACCTTTAGAGCACCGGCCACCCTCAGAAATACGAAATTTTTATAAAAGAGTCAATATTGAACTAAGCACATTATTAGATAGTCCAAGATGCCTGCTATCAGAATTCATGGCACTGAACATTCATCGAAGGTTTCTGCAGGTTTTCAGGTAGTTTTCTGGAAGCGCTGAAAAAATGACTTTTTCACTAACAGTGTGTAATCAATACAAAATCGACAGACAAAGTAGTTATAAAGCGACTGGGTTGTAGAACAAACATTTCTGATCAAAATGAGACGTCTCCCAACCTCAGACAATGTTCTAACCAAACGTTATAAGAATTTTAAACAGATGCCCTAAAATATGCGTCGTATTCTAGCGTCACTTTATGCCAAAAGCAAGCTTCGCGTGTACACGACTTCGTAACTGCAGGATTTCTCCGTAACTGAGTGACCTAAAGAGCTTTGGTTGGTCTTAAAATGAAGCTAACCTAAGTAACTAGAGATTAACAGAACCCGATTTTAATATTCAATCTAGATTTGTGATTAGAAAAACAACTTTGTTCAAGTTAATAAGACGTTTCTAATTTTGGACTTTGACACTGACCATTACTTTGAAAAGTAAAATATCGAAAATCGGATTCTATTAACCTATAGCCACATATGTTTTCGTAGTTTTGATATCCTCCTGAGCTCTTCAAGACGCTTCGTCACCGAGAAATCTTACAGCTACGAATAGCCCCATTTTGATCTCTAATTGAAACGGCGATAGATGACTACACCAAAATTTCACGAAAAGAGCACAATCATAAGGTGAACATTCTCTGAAAACTTGGTCCAGATCGGATTTTTAGTTGTCGAAATACTTTCTGACGGGGACAGGAGAGCTTAACAAGATATAGATTACACTGTTACCCAGATCAAGCAATCCTACTAGGATCTTACTGGTAACAGAATTCCTTTTGTATGGTCCTATGAAATCCTACGGCAGGAATTTCCTAGGATTCTTCACATAGGACGGTAGCAAAATTCGTATATGATTCCTATAATAGGAGTCTTAGGCATTTCTTACAAAATCGTATGGTAAGGTTTTTATGTAGGATTCCGATTTTTTCGTTCTGTATACCTTTTATTTTCTTTCTGTATAGCGGCTTAAACGCGCGTGACGGAATTACATTTTTTCAACTTTTGGGTTTTGTTTCTCCTCAAATACTGAACCAAAGATGACAAAATTTTTATTAGAGATGTGCGGTAGAATGCTTGGTTTGTGGTAAAAATTTCGAATGCGTCGGTTAAGTAGACCGATTTTTATGAGCAAAATAGGTGGTGTCATGGCAGAATTACATTTTTTAGCCTTTTTTTTCTAGTGCTCTACAAACTTGTTGTTGTACAAACTGCGTTTTTTAAGATTGTTTCGACAAAGTCAATAGTGGATTTTGTAGAGAATTTAATTCTTTATCCACTGATATACTTTCTGAAACTTTTTAAAAAACTAAGTAGGTCAGAAAATTGAAATAAAAAAACTTCTAAATTTTAAATTTGAATTTTCGATTTAAAAAT